CTTGCAAGGCAGGCACAGTACCACTGAGCTAAATCCCTGGTTCTGCTTCTACATTTGTTATAAAAAAAAGAAAAAAAAGCCTCATGTCTCTCAGTTTCTGACGATTGAAAAGTATGGATGCCTTCTTTCTTCACAACCATGTTGAGAACCTATTTTCCCTCTAAATTGAGAGTTTCTCAATCATTTCAGAGAAGAAAAATTAAGAGCTACAGTGAATGGGGGCCAGGGATTTAGCTCAGTGGTTCTGGCGCCTGCTGTGCAAGCACAAGGTCCCGAGTTCGATCCCTGGTACCAAAAAAAAAAAAAGAGTTACAGTGAATGGGGAAACTGATTATAAGAAGAGAACAGTTCTGGCTGGGCATGGTGGCACACACCTGTAATCCCAGCACTCAGGAGGCTGGGGCAGGAGGATTGCCAGCCTGGGCAATATAGTGGATTCAAGGCCAGCCTGTCTCAAAAAAAAAGAACAGAACAGGTTACTGTTAAGTAAAAGGGATGGTAACATACTCTAATGTTCAAAATAAAAGTTGAAATATAGAGATAATAATATTAAATAGAAGTCAATATACAGTGGTACTTCAGTTCATGAACTTATTCTGTTCCATAGTTCTGGAAAAGATAACCACATTCATGTTCGTATAGGAAAGGTGGCCACGGTCGTGTTTCTCACCCAATGCAGAGTTCACATACAAAAACAAAATTTTGCCAAACACTTCTGTTTGCAAACCAAATTGTTTGCAAACAAAAGTGTGTGTCGGGCCGGGGATTTAGCTCAGTGGTTTTGTCTCCTGCTGTGCAAGCACAAGGACCCAAGTTCGATCTCTGGTACCAGAACAAAAAACAAAAAACAAAAACAACAAAAAAAGTGTTTGTGAACTGAAGTATCTCTGTACATAAGAAAAACTTATGCTGAAGATTTTATCTAATCTAGTAGGTTGCCATTTTTTAAAATTAGTCAGTATGTAATACCTTTGACTCTCAGGGATGGTGGTGAAGGCAGAATTAGAAATGTGTATTTTGACTCTCACTAAAGCATCAATTTATATTAAAACAAGGCATTTGAGGAACTGGGGGGCTGTGCTTTGATGGGGTCTCTTTTACATAATGGCCAGTAAGCGTTTAATTAGAAGGAAAGGGACAGCAAGAAGGAAACACAGAGACCAAGGTAAGCAAGAGTATTAATGTCATTCCACAGCTTAAAGCCTCTGACTAGATCCTCACTGTGTTTAAAATCCAATCCAAGTTGCTTAAAATGACCTACATGTGGTGCCCCCCAGTTTCATTTCACACCATTCCTCCCTTGCTCACTATGCTCTAGACACATTGGGCTTCTGATTCTATCTAAAACACTTTTCTCCATCTCCCCTTTACACCTGTTACTCCTCCCATCTGCACTACTCTTAGCTCATCTTTGTACCTAATGGCTTCTTTTCAAAAACTGCTTGTCTTGGTTAGACTTTCTCCCTCTCAGACAGGTTTTCCCTTAACATCTACCTAAGTAAGTTTTCTCCACCAATTACTTCCTATTACACTGCTCTTTTTATTTCTTTCATGGTAGCTTTCAACAAGATTATGTCTTATTTACTGCCAATGTCTAAATCAGTGTTTTGCATATAGCAGAAATAAAATAAAATGTCCAAATAACTACATGAACAGCTTGTTTAACAAAGATTTGCCTCCAGGTCCAAAAATGGAACTTACTTGATACTTACTACTTGTGGATCTAGATCTATGAATCTAACTACTTTCAAAAATTTGTAATAGAAAGTTAGAATACTCAAGGGACTTTTACGCTCATTCATGGACATTAATGGGTCAAAAAATTTAAGTTCCTGGGCCAGGGATTTAGCTCAGTGGTGCCTTGCCTGCCTCGCGAGTGCAAGGTCCTGAGTTCGATCCCTGGTACCAAAAAAAAAAAAAAAAATTTTTAGTTCCTAAATGCATACATTCCCAGTTAAGGTGAAATAAGGCAATGATTGACCTTCATTTCATCTCTCATACCATAAACAAATATCTTTTTGGTGGTCTATTTTGTGTCACATTTTATCAATTTTGTGCTTTTTGTTGATGATTTCACTATTTAACTGATCCCCACACATAGCACGCTAAAGTACTTTTCTAGTATTCCTAAGTGCGAAAGCCTATGCTATATAGACAAGCTACAGACAGGCAGGAGTCACAGGGAGGAGTCTGTTCTCTGTAAGTTCAATGTCAATAAATCAACAATATTTTTTAAATAAGGTATCTTTAAGCAGAAACACATAGATTAGACTATGTATTGATTTGTTGATAGAAATGTTGTGATCAGAGGCTCACAGGACTCTAGCTCTGTATTTCTCCTAGGAGAAAAGGTTTAATAGTCACTAATTCAGTAACTTACTTTTCAAGTTTTTGCTTTTAGTAAGCGCAAACAGACTCAGAAACATGTTGCTGAGATATAAACTACTCTTGAAGCATCAACAGATGTAAAAGTAAATGCTGCTGGGCATGGTGGTGCATGCCCATAATCCCAGCACTCAAGAGGATCACCATTGAGTTCAAAGCCAGCCTGGAATACATAGTAAGCTCAAGGCCAGCCTGGACTGTAAAGCGAGACTCTGTCTCTAAAACAAACAAACAAAACAAAAAGTAAATGTTAAATTAGGGCCTTGTGCATGCTATGCACACAAACTGCCAATGAGCTGCAACCCGAGCCCAATCATTCTTAATTTGCAGATCCTTCCCTACCCAATCTAGGAATTCAAGAGTAAAGCAGAAGTTTTACTTTATGAAACCTACTTAACAGCAAACATCAAGGTACCTTATTACTCATTAACGGTCATTACTATATAGAGAGACATTTTTAAAACTACCACATAGAAAGCAGTTTGTCCTCATTATCACTTTTTCTCCCTAAATTGGTTCCTTTTGCGAAATATTACCATTGTAAACCAATGTGTACATTTCACTCTCTGAAATATATCTGTCACTTCCTCTTTTCCATATAGCCAAATAAAGTTTCACTCTATATACCAGTAACAGTGAACTTTTCAGAGCTTTCAATGATAACAAACAGTCCAGTGCAGCATGTGTGCCATAGGTTCACCACCAGTGTTCCATAGGCACTTACCTTGGCCACATCAAAAGGTGTTTTGACCTCTACAGTTGTGTCAAGTTCAGCAATGGCAGGAACTTCCTGTTTGTTTCTTCCTTTCCGCCTACCCCGCTTTAGCTGGTCTCCTGATCTCTGCCCATCTAAAATTTCTGTCAGAAATAACAAAAAGATATAGACTGATGATAGTAAGATTTATTAATGAATTTCTATAGCTAATAAACAGAAAACAATGTTTAATATTTAGAGTCAAGATATCAAGTGAAGCAGAACTCCTCTCAACCCAGAATTAAATTTAAACCATTATTTTCAAGATTGCAGTCAATGACAAAGAATTTAAACAAATGTTACTGGCACTAAAATCTGATTATTTTAGATTTCATAATAATGATGATTATGACTTCAATCGTTTAGTGTCTTTTGTGTTGTTTACATAGAAATCTCAAGGTGTTATTCATACTATAATCAGTCAATATTTTACTTCCATCCAGTTATGCATATAACTAAAAATATGTCTTTCTCAAAAAAATTAATATTTTGTGGTGCTGGGTATTGACCTCACATATGCTCCACAAGAGCTCTATCAGTGAACTACATTCACAGCCCCTGAAAAACATTTCTTTAATGTATATAAGTTTTTCAACTTATTTTGAAGCCATATTTAAATCTAAAAAGCTATTTTTGTGGGCCAGGGATTTAGCTCAGCGGTACTGTGCCTGCCTTGCAAGTGCAAGGTCCTTAGTACTAGCCCCAGTACCAAAAAAAAGCTATTTTTGTGATATTTGTTAAGTTCAAAATGTCTGAACTAGATGGATATGGTGGCACATACCAGTAATCCCAGTTACATGAAGGTTTAGGCAAGAGAACTGAAAATTCAAATCCAACCTGGGAAACTTAGCAAGACTCTATTTCCAAAATAAAATTTTAAAAAAGAAGCTGGGGGGTAACCCACTTTCCAGGTCCCCTTCTGTCTCTCTGAGACAGAAGCTTTCTTTCTCTCAACAAATTTTTCCTACTCTTAAAACAGGCACATCTATAAGCCCAGCACCCTGGCAGGCTGAGTCAGAAGGACTGCAAGTTAAAGTCCAGCTGAGGCAACTTAACAAGACCTTGTCTCAAAACAAATAATTAAAATTGGGTGGGTAGGGCTGGGGAGTTAGCTCAGTGGTTCCGCAGCCTGCCTCGAAAGTGCAAGGTCCCAAGTTTGATCCCCGGTACAAAAAAAAAAAAAAAAAAAATTGGGTGGATACATAGCTCAGTGAGAAAGCCCTGGATTCAACCTCTAGCATCACAATAAAGAAATAAATAAGAGCTGGAGGTGTAGTTCAGTGGTAGATCATTTGCCTACCATGCACAAGGCCCTGTACTCAATCTCCAATTTCTTTCTTTTTTTTCTGGTACCAGAGATCGAACTTGGAACCTTGCACTGGTGAGGCAGGTGGTGGAACCACTGAGCTATATCCCCAGCCCTCAATCTCCAATTTCTGTAAACCTGCTCATTAACAATAACATTTAAACATTTACGTACTTGTATTAACTTACCATCTTTTTTGAAGCACTGCTGCAAAGGATCAGAAACTAACTCCTGATCATTCATTTGCCATTTAGTTATAAAATCTTCTATGAATTGACCTTTTTTGTCCTCATTTCCCTGGAGGAGATCTGTCACATATTCTCGTATTTCTTCTGCACTGTCAATTGACAAAATGTACCTCAGGAGGCAAAGACATAAATTGTTGAAAGAAGGACACTAGTTTTTCAATAATAATAACAGAATGAAAGTAGTAAAAACTATTGGAACTAGGACGTTGCTTAGTGGTAGACCACTTACCTAGCACATGTGAGGCCCTGGGTTCAGTCCAACCATTGTAAAACAAAAATCATTCATGTGTTAGAGTATTTACAGTGAGCCAAGTACTTTGCTAGACGTTAGCAATGTAAATTTGATTAAGACAAAGACCCTGATTTCAAGTTCTCCGTAATCTAACCTTCATCTATATTTAGCCATTTACAGTTTCTCTGTATTTTTATTTAGAATCAAATCAGTGTTATGAAAGGTTGCAAAATTATTCTTAACAAATTAATACGGTACTTCCTCTAGCTACACTTCCCCAGTCATCATATTTCCCTAAAAATACAAATTACTTAATCTCCATGTTACAAAATCTAACATTTCTCTTATTTTTGCTCCAGATACATATACTACAACTAATCAGTAATCTGACATCCTTAAAAGCTATAAGTTAAAGGGGCCAGGGATTTAGCTCAGTGGCACCATTGCTTGCCTCCCAAGCGCAAGGTCGTGAGTTCGATCCCCAGTACTGCCCCTAAAAAAGCTGTAAATCAAGATTAGTATCCTGAGTTCAATTCCTGGTACCAAAAAACCCAAAACAAAACCCCAGATTAATATCACATCAGAAAAAGCAGATCTATTTCAAGGACATGTTACGAAGGGTTCCTTAAAATGATATTGGGCTAGATTATAAATTAGTACAACTTTTCTAGAAATCAACTAGCCAATGATGAAGTGCTTTAAAATGGTCCAGTAATTCTTCTAGAGCAACAAATATCAAAGGCATAGAAATTTTTACACAAAAAGCTAATTGTACCATTATTTAATTAGTAGAAAAGAATTTACAATGTCTGTTGATACAGAAAGGGGTAAATGAGTTCAAGGTTTTAGATTTTATAAAATGTAATATAAGACCACCACCAAATCTGAAAGTTCTGAATAACTACAATTGACCTGAGAAATAGTATATAAAATTACAATGGTACATGAAACAGAAGGTATAATATAGATCCTAATTGTCATAAAAGGAATATGTGTATATGAACACATACATTTATGTATAGAGAAAAAGGCTAGAAAGTTAAACACTAAAATGATTACTACAAAATGACAGAATTAAAAGCAGTTTTAATTTTTCTTCCCTACAATGAATATTTCTGAAAATACATTGCATGATAATAATGCATGGGGAAAAACAGTTTTGGCTTTATCCTTTTCTTTCTTTTTTTCTTTACAGTGAACATATCTTATTACAAAAAGAGTAAGCTGGGCATGGTGGTACACACCTGTGACCCCAGCATTGTGGGAGGCTGAGGCAGGAGGATTGCAATTTGAAGCCCAACCTGGGCAATTCAGCAACTTAGCAAGACTCTGCCTCAAAATAAGAAAAGAGCTAGGGCATGTAGCTCAGTAAGAAGGTTCTGGATTCAGTCCCAATATCGCAAAAAAAAAAAAAAAAAAGTGATAAAAATAACAATTTCAAATATAAGATCTTTGCTAGGTGCGGTGGCACATGTCTGTAATCCCAGCACTTGGGAGGCTGAGGCAGAAGGATCACTGTGAATTCAAGGTTACCCCGGGCTACATAGTTCAAGACCTCCCTGACCTACATAGTGAGACCCAGTCTCAAAAAAAAATTTTTCTTTCATAGTATTATAAAGCCTTAAAAAACTGTAATTCAGCCCTTGCTTGCTTAGCTACCTTCTATCCGCCATGAACTGTTTCTCCTCTGCAATGCCTGTCTGCCTGCCATGCTACCCCGCCATGGAGCCAGCCAATTATGGACTGAGATCTCTACAAACTGTAAGCTAAATAAACCTTTTCTTCTTAAAAAGAAAAAGAAAGAAAAAGAGAGAGAGAAAGAAAGAAACTGTAACTCAGGCACATCAATATGAGATGTAACAAAAATTATTACAATAATACTACATCTTTTAAATTAAAAAGAATCACAAAATTTCCCATCATTGGTAGCATATGTACTGGAATCTTTTCCTAATATGGTGAAAGAAATGCAGAGTTACGGTCAATAGGAACAAACCTATGCCTTGTTCTCATTAAAATAATCTTCTAATCATGAGATTAAAAAAATAAGAAAATAGGTTTTCAAGGCTTACACATTTTAATCACCTTGATCTCCAAACTTATCAGCCCCTACCAAAAGATTACTCAGACTCACAGAGCTGCAAGAGATCTCATAGGATCATTAACCCTGGAGTTTTCAAACCACCAAGTAAAAAGAGTTCTAGGAACATTTACATAAATATCATTTTAACTATTTAAGAAAATAAGCCAGGGATTTAGCTCAGTGGCCTGCCTTGCAAGCGCAAGGTCCTGAGTTTGATCCCCAGAACCAAAAAAAAAAAAAAAAGAACATTCATCCAAATGTGTCATATACCAAATCTTAAAAAAATAGAATCAACCAAAACATCAAGGTTTATTTTGCTAACTCTGTGTACATATCTTTTTTTTTTTTGGTACCGGGGATCAAACTTGGGTCCTTGTGCTTGCACAGCAGGTGGCGAAACCACTGAGCTAAATCCCTGGCCCTCTGTGTACATATCTTAATGTCTTATAAAAATGTCAATAAGTAGGAGGTTAACAGTTCTGTGCTATTTTAAAATTCAGGGCACTTGTATAAAATTGATTCAAGTTAGTATACTATTATAATACTCCTGGGTAATTCTCAATTAAATGCCAGACAAGGCACGGCAAATACTTTCATCATTAGGCATCACAGCCTATTGTGGAACCATTAGAGAAAATCTAATGAGAGGTTCAAATAGTTGTACATCATAGGTAGCTTTAGTGCTTATTTTAAGATTCCAACACTTTTTTTTTTTTTTTTTTTTTTTTTTTGAGACGGGGTCTTGCTATGTAGTTCAGGCTGGCTTTGAACTCACCATGTAGCCCACGCTGGCCTCAAACTCATGGCAATCCTCCTGCCTCTGCCTCCCAAGTGCTGGGATTATAGGCTTGCGCCACCATGCCTGGCTTCCAACACTTCTTGTCTAACTTAAATTTATAATTTAAAAAACTATAGCAGGTGTTTAGCCATACTTAGTGTTTCAACTTTAAAACAGAAATGTACTACTCCACTTTCAATGGAGTGAACAAATGTTCAACTGAGTTTGCAAAATAAACTGTTAATCTTGCAAGAATCAGAATTTTCCTCATGTTTTATAATCAAAAAATAAAATTGGATTCTGAAACTGAGAAGACTGCATCTATCACCCTTACCCCATTTAAAACTGTTGATTTGGGCCGGGGATTTAGCTCAGTGGTTCCGGCGCCTGCCTCGCAAGTGCAAGGTCCCGAGTTCGATCCCCAGTACCTAAAAATACAAAATAAAAATAAAATAAAACTGTTGATTCAGCCAGGTGTGGTGGCACACACCTGTGATCCCAGCACTCAGGAGACTGAGTCAGGAGGATGGCTGTGCATTTGTGGCCAGCCTGGCTATACTGTGAATTCAAGGCCAGTCTGGACCTCATAGTGAGACCCTGTCTCAAAACAAAACAAAAATAAAATTCTTGATTCATCAAAAACAGCCTCAGGACCAGGGATGCAGGATGGGGTTTGCCCAGCATGCAGGAGCTCCTGAGTTCAATCCCCAGAATCCTGACAAAACAGCAGTAAATTACCACAAATTTAGTGGCTTAGCAACACAAATTTATAGCCCAGTGCAGTGGCACACATATGTAATCCCAGCTATTCATGAGGCTGAGGCACAAAAAAGAAGCACAAGTTGGAGGCCACCCTGGGCAACTTAGAGCTTGTCTCAAAATAAAAAATAAACTGGAGAAGCTGAGGCAGGAGGATCACTGTGAGTTTGAGGCCAACCTGGGCTACACAGTGAGCATAGTAAGTTCAAGGCCAGACTGAACTATGGTGAGACCTGTCTCAAGAAAACCAAAAAGAGGGGGGTTTAGGAATGTAGCTCAGTACAAAGCCTTGGGTTCCATCCTCAGTAACTAACACATATATACACACAAATACAAACACACAAAGTACCTGAATCTTTTAAATATTGAGTGATTTTATATTGAATGTGATAAACTTGAATTCATATTATTAAAAGCCACTTTTCATGGTTTATCTATTGCCAAGTTTCATCATTTCACTTGAGAGCATTCAAATTTTTTTAAGTATGAAAACTATTTACTTAACTTGATTTTGCATTCAAAGAAGGGTAAAGTCAAATCATATGACTTGTCCTTTTTTTTTTTTGGTAGGCCACTGCAGTGTTCAGAAAAATTCTTTAGAATAGGCTCCCTTAACTCTTTCCTTGTCAATTAATCTATTTTTTCCCAAACTCACAGACTCGCCTTACTTCCGACAAACTTAGGATGGAAATTTGGGTTTCAGCATTGGTGAACAAAGAATCAAATTAACACGTTTAGGTTCCCTGGTCACGTCCTATTTGTGTACAAGTTTTCCTCTTCTCCTGAACACTTGGCACCTCCACCTCTACATATTTTTTAGAGGTACATCCTTTTCAGTAAATCTTCCATTGTCTCAATTTTTTTTTTTTTTTTTGGTATGGGGATTGAACTCAGGACCTTGGCGATTGCGAAGAAGGCGCGGTGCCACTGAGCTAAATCCCGGGCCCTGTCTCAAATCTTAATGGGGGTTCTTTATTCCATCCTCCCACATTTTCTACTCTTATGTCAGCACTCATCCATGCGCCATAACCCAATTGTCATGATTATCTTTGTTGTCCCAGTGAAGCAAATGTTAATTGGTCGAAAGCAGGTATAAGCATACTCATAATCTATAGTTCATAAGAATGTTTAAGTACTAAAGAACGATAAGCTCTCCTGGCTCATCTTTTTTATTTTTTTGGTACCGGGGATTGAACTCGAGACCTTGCGCTTTCGAGACAGGCGGTGGAACCACTGAGCTAAATCCCGGGCCCATAGCTCATCATTTTGTAGGTGGGGAAATCAAGGTACAGAGGGAATTTTAATTGTCTAAGGTTCCAAAAGTGGTAAGGGACAACAGAAAGTAGAACCTGTGACTTCAGAGTCAGGAACTATTTGCACTGTACTACGTGCCGTTTTAATCCCACGTCCTACTGGACACAACTCTGAGCAAACTGAAACGTTCAAAATATGGAATTTCTGGAAAAATCTAACTTGTTCCTTCTCTTCAGAATCTGCTAAAAAGCAAAAAAACCCCGCCCGGGACAGTTTTACAGGTGTACTATGGATTTGTTGTTTTCCTAAGAAAAGCAGGCCGCACTGGCATACTGTGGAAGCTGCCACCTTTTCCAGAAGCTAAACTACAAAAGTGCAGGCCAAAATGCGGTCCCTACAGACCGATAGCAGCCCTTTTATGTATTCTCTCTCATCAACTTTTGAATCCTCCCTGCCGCCCTGTTCGCCTTCCCAATGCACATCCTAGAACTCCTTCCCGCTTCGTACCCGAACCAATCTTACTGCATGATTTCCTCGCTGACATCTAGGCCGAAAGTTTTCCGCAACTGCTGGGTGCACCAGTGTACAAGAGACTCTCGGAACGCCGCCTCGGCTGCAGCCATCTTCCCCGGCCGGAACCAGCTGGGCGGCAAAGGACCCAAGTCCTACGCCGGACTAGTTTCCTTCACAACACCGACCTCGCTCACTTGGGTTCCGCCGGCTTGCTCAGTCCCCGCATTCGCTCCGCCTCCAATGCAGGTCCGTCCACCTGTGCCGCCTCCGACTGCTTCCTGCTTTCTAGTGGATGGTGTTTGTGCCACTGCAGAATCAACGCGTGATCCTTACACTTAATTAGATCTAAAACTCTACGAACGCCATGGGCATTATTGCTGAGAAGACACCCCCAATACCTATGAAAAGTACAGTTGAAGGAAAATAAGAAGCAGTATCCCGGAAAATGACGATATAACTTATGATCTGATCTGACCTCATGTAAAACTTTTAAAGCAACCTTCTAAGGGTTCTGTTAATTTCTACTCTGGTGGTGGTGGTTATTGTTGATATCCCAAGTAGTCAAATACTGTATTCATACCCCCTGTGTTGGGGATCTAGTGCAGGTCCTTCAGCATGCTTGGGAATCTGTGCCACTGAGCTACACACCCAACCCATGTTTAATTTTTTGAGTGTTTTTTTCCAGGAGGGTCAGCCTCAGCAAACAAAGTGTGCGAGAGTGTGTGTGTGTGTGTGTGTGTGTGTGTGTGTGTGTGTGTGTGAATAAAACAGGTACTGGGGTTTGGCTCTGAAGCCCTTCCACAGCAATTCCGAACCCAAGGATTTATGCAATTTGCCACTCCACTAGGACAGCGGGCCGGGGAATATTCAGCCAAGTTTTTCTGGAGAAGATGTCTTCTGATTCATGGCTGGCATTTAATTACTATTTATTAATTTATTTATTTATTGGTCCGGGGAATGATCCCAGGGCCTTTGCACTGAGTTACATCCCAACCCCACCCCCCTTATTAAAGCTAGGTTATGGCTAAATAGTCCAGGCTGGCCTTGAAACTGCCATCTTCCTCCCTCAGCCTGGGATTATAGGCACGCTGTACGACACTTGGCTCACCTTTGCAGGGAAAAAGTTCTTTATTCCTATCAAGGTATTTAAAGTTATTATATTAAATTGGATGTTGTTTTACCTTTTAATGCTCATGTTTTCATTTGCATTAATAATCAAATATATGGGATTTAGCTTAGTGGCACAGAGCCTGCGTGGCAAACGTGAGGTCCTGAGTTTGAGTCCCCAGTCCAAAAAAAAAATCAAATATATGTATTGATTCATATTGTTTTTAGTCTCTGTGTTATCATTAATTTGGAAAGTGTGTGATTTCTAGCTTCTTTTAAAAGCAGAATATACTCAATATTTGTTAATTGTACAAATTTGGTTTCTTCACAAAAATCAGATTTTTATTACTAATTATATCATATCCAATTTCCAAATCATTTAATGCATCCAAATAATTTATCTATGGAAATAGTCAGTGCCATAACTAAAATACTAACTTCTCAAAGACAGAGGCTATTTCCTAACTCTTTCTGCACAAAAGAACATAATATATCATACATACTATGATAAAATGACTAGGTCCTAAAAAAAAAAAAAATCATAAAAAAAGGGCCAGGGATTTATCTCAGTGGTTGCCACACCTGCCTCACAAGCACAAGGTCCTAAGTTTGTTCGATCCCTGAAACCAAAAAAAAAAAAAAAAAATCATAAAATGACTAGGTCCTCAAGAATAACATCACTATTTTTTTTTCCTCAGTATTCTTTTTTTGTAGTGAATGTTAATGTTTTCTCTAGTTTGTAATATGTATAATTTCTTTTTTTAGGGGCTTTTTTGTTGTTGTTGGGTTTTTTTTCCACTTTTCTCTTTTGGTACCAGGAATCGAACCCAGGGCCTCGAGCTTGCCGGGCAGGCGCTGCGCCACTGAGCTAAATCCCCAGCCCTGTAATATGTATAATTTAATGACATTTGCAATCATTATCACTTATTAAATTACATTTCTATCTGAGCGAATAAGTACACTTATTTCATATGACTTAAAGATAGTCTTTGTAACAGGTAGGCATGGTGGTTCACACCTGTAATTCAACACCCAAGAAGCTGAAGCCATCACAGTGTTTTTTCTTTTTCTCTGACATGCATCCTTCATTATTATTAGTGTTTAAAAAGACATACTGAGCTGGGTGTGGTGGCCAGGCCTGTAATCCCAGCACTTGGGAGGCTGAAGCAGGAGGATTGCCATGAGTTTGAGGCCAGCCTGGGCTACACAGTGAGCTCAAGGCCAACCCGTACTACACCGAGAGACCCTGTTTGAAAAAACTAAAATAAACAAACAACATCAAAAAGACATACAGGGCTGGGGATGTAGCTCAGTGGCAGAGCAATTGCCTAGCATGTGGGTTTGATCCTCAGGTACACACACACACACACACACACACACACACACACACAACTACTGTGGAACGCAGAGTGCCCTTATATCAAAAAGTACAATATACTCAAAATTCCTTCTAGCCATTTACTTGCCATGTAGAGTAAGAGAAAAGACTGACACATTCCCCAGGGAGTTCCAGTCTTAGCAGGAATCTGAGATGTGAGTTCTAATTCAACAGTGTAGAAGAGACACTAACTGAAAAGGAAATAGTGGCTTTAAGAAACAGCCTGCATTGAGATGCGGCCTGGGGATAACAAAGAAATACCCTGAGGCATGTTGATTTTTCTGGTAAGAATGAGGCGCAGGTAACTGCCAATACACTTCCCACTGTCATGTTAATTTAACCTGGTGTCTAAGTCCTTTAATTTTATAACACAATGTAGTTGATTCTGTTAAAGTACTGAGTAACTTTTTTTTTTTTTTTTTTTTTTAACACAAGCGGAATACTTCGGAGAGAACCAGTGGTATACTTTCACTCCTAGGGGTTTTTTTTGTTTGTTTGTTTTTTAGTACCGGGGATCGAACTCCGGTCCTTGAGCTTTCGCAGCAGGCTGCGAAACCACTGAGCTAAATCCCCGGCCCTTCACTCCTAGTTTTGACTTTCAAAATGAGCCACTTACAGAATATATCGTATAGCAAGTTAATCCTACCCAGTTTTATACGGGAATTGAGAGTGAAACTCACTACTAGGGAAATCACAATTAGCAGTACAGGGATGGAAAATAATTACGACTCCCTCTTCTAGTTATGTTCGCCTGGGCTAGGGTTGAGTTTGCAGTACATTTGACATGTTTTTCTAAGAAAAATGTTTTATTATTGTGTATATTGATATAACTGACTCAGTTTTTCTTTAGTCACACACGACTCTAAAGACATCCAAGGCTGTAGGTAAATTGTATTAGTATTCTTTTCCCCACTCCATAGAATTATTTTGGAATAAATGATGGAGATGGGTAGGGTTTGTGCCAGGAGTATTAAAACACTCAATTCTGTTTATTTTTATGTGGATCAAAAAGTTCGCCTAATTTTTGGCTTCCCTTCCTGGACCCAATCATGGATTTCATACTATGATAGCTTTTGAAGCGTCGTAATTCTCAGGCTACTGAGGTTTTTTTTCCGCTAGCGGGCTCATTTCCTGGGTTGAGAATGGGCCCTGACCCACCCCCTGGGGCGGGGGCCAATCGCAAGGCTCTTCGCGTTGATGGACTGGACAGCTCGGCCGTGAGCCTGGCCGCTGTCACCACGGAACCCTGTGATTGGTTTGCAGGGAAAGGCGCGGAACCAATGGGGGTCAGGGCTCGCGAGAGGCGGTGAGCGCGGGAAAGCGCCCCTTATTAATGGTGGCGGGAGAGTCCTTTTCTGGTCCTTGTCCAGCGAGACACCTTTGGCAGGGAAGTCAGTGCATTTCCGTCGTCTCCTCGCGCTTTAACATGGTGCGGACTAAAGCAGACAGTGTCCCGGGCACTTATAGGAAAGGTGAAGCGATCAGGGACCGCATGGGGTGCTGGGTGAAGGGAGGGATGCCTCGCTCCGCTCCGGGACCTGCACGCCCAGCTCAGGCCGCTTGGATCCCTAACCTGGGGGAGGAAGTGCAGAGAAGGCCATCCGGGCGTTAGGGACCCCGGAGCTGTTCTCTCCATGCCCCTGGGGCTGTGACTGGTGAGAAAGTAACTCAGTGTCCCTTCCAGCCCCCTTGGGAATGAATGCCAAGGCCCCATCCCTCACTTTGTCTTTGCAGTGGTGGCCTCTCGAGCTCCCAGGAAGGTGCTGGGTTCCTCCAACTCTGCCACTAATTCCTCGTCGCTTTCATCGGCATTGAAGAAAGGTAAGAAACACCCATGGAGGCTCCTGGGCCAACAGGAATCCTCCTGCAAGGGGCTGGATCAGAGCCAGGCATGGTGACACATACCTGTAGACCTGGCACTCTGAGAAGCTGAAGCAAGAGGACCAAACGTTCAGAGCACAGCCTCCACAATTGATAGTCCTTGTCTCAAAAATAAATAAATAGTAAAAGGGCTGGAGATGTAGCTCAGGGCAAAGGCCCTGGGTTCAATCCCCAGGACCACAGAAAAGGGTTGGGAATCATCAGGCTTGAAACCACAGTTCTGATCAGTAATCTCAGCTCCCAGTACAATTTTTTTTTTTTTTTTTTTTTTTTTTTTGGTACCGGTGATGGAACTCAGGTCCTTGCGCTTGCGCAGCAGGCGGCGAAACCACTGAGCTAAATCCCTGGCCCCGCCCAGTACAATTTATTTTACTTGAGATCCTCAGGCCGAAATTTTTACTTGTCCTCTGAAGGGGCTTTGGCCTTTTGGGCAAATGGGGTAGAAGTGGAGATCTGTTCAAAGAGAATCCTCAAGCTCTATGTTTTCTTTTGGGGTTTAGCGTTATTTTTCTTAATAATGACAATCATTTATCTTTTTTTTTTTTTTGAGACAGGATCTCACTATATAGTTCAGGTTGGCCTTGAACACACTATGTAGGCTAGGCTAGCCTTGAACTTGCAAGCCAGGGTCTTGTTATGTAGTTCAGGCTAGCTCTGAACTCTGTTATAGCCCAGAGTGGCTTCAAACTTGTGATCCTCCTACCTCCTCTTCCCGAGTGCCGCCATGTTCAGCTTACCTTCGAAAGTCTTTACTACTGTATTCCCTTTTATCTAAAGAGATTGAAACAGTAACTATTTTCTAACAAAATGTTTTCAAAAGGGAGAAATTTGAGTTGACTTAAAATCTCATGAAGTCCTAAACAGTTGCTTCCCTTTATGTTCTTAATTAAAGCTTGTGGAGGTCATCTTCCTGCCTACTTAGCTTCCTACTGAAAGGAACGAGGCACCAGATGGTGGGACATTTTCTCATCCTTTCCACAGGCAGAAGGAGTAGTGTGAAGCTATTTCCCTTGCCTGCTTCCCCTCCTACTCTTCCAAAGGTAGTATCAGGTGCTGCAAAATTAAAAAACACAGATACCATCCTCAAAAAAGGGAGGATGAGGGCTGGGGATTTAGCTCAGGGGCACTGTGCCTGCCTTGAAAGCACAAGGTCCTGAGTTTGATCCCCAGTACCAAAGGAAAAAAAAAGACTGGATGAAAGGAAGGATTAGAAGAGGGAAAGAGAAGGGAGAAGGAAAGGAAGAAATGCAGAAACAAAAGCAGAAGCTGGCTATAATCCCATTACTTTGGGAGGCTGAAGCAGGAGGATCTCAAGTGCAGGTTTCATGTGGGCCACTTACCAAAACCCTGTCTTAAAATACTGTAAGTAAAAACAAAAGAGATGGGATATAGATCAGTGGGAAGGTTCAATCCCCACAAGCCTTTTTCTGCAAAAAAGAAAGGAAAAAAATAATCTATACTAAGACAATGTGGTTAGTAACCACATCCTAAATGTAGTGAGGAGATATTTCAATAACCTCTGCAAGATAAAATGATTGCTGGTGTGGTGGTGCATGGTTGTAATCCCAGAATTTGGGAGCCTGAGGAGGGAGAATTGCCGGAGAATTGAGGGCAGCCTGGTCTACTTAGTTCAACCCCAGTCAGAACTACATACCGAGACCCTGTCTCAAAAAAAAAAAGAAAAGTTAAGCTCAGGTTATATAACTTGGTAGAGGTCATACAACTAAATCAGCAGGGCTGTTTAAATCTATTGCTGTTAGCCCAAGGTGGGATGTGCCTGTAGTTCCAGCTACTTGGGATACTGAGTCAGGATCACTCGAGCCCAGGAGTTGGAGGCCAGCCTGGAAAACTTAGAGACACTCTCATCTCAAATAATAAAAATAAATCTATTACTGATGAATATTTTCTAATGGTGAAGAGATTCCTATGAGTTTTCCTTAGTAAAATTAAGAA